AATTGGCAAACCATACAGAGGTGCAGTAAGTTAAAATGCTCTCTATGGTGCAGCAGGAGAAAGTCACCAGCAGTTTTTCATTCAGCTGTATATTCCTGAGAAGCCTCAGGTAGTATAATATCTGCTGGGCCCTTTTGACCAGGGCTACAATGTGAGCACCCCAGGTCAGGTCCTCTTTTAGGGTAACACCCAGAAACTTAAAACTGGCCACTTGCTCCACTCGGTCTCCATTGATAAGCAAGGGCTGAAAGTCTGATCTGTTCCTTCTATAGTCCACTATAAGCTCCTTGGTCTTATTGGTGTTGAGGACCAAGTTATTGTCTCCATACCATGAAAGCAACCATTGGTCCACCTCATCTCGATAGGCAGACTCATCCCTTCTGAATGGAAAATAACTTCATGTCAACATAGTATGATAGACTTGCAGGGCCGGCGCGTTGTGCAACAAGGTCACATCATGTAATAAGATTGGGACTGGATTAGGGACTTTTGTCTTCACTGTGAGTTGTGTTGGGGTGTGTGTGTGTGTGTGTGCACGAAGGGAGGCACAGCCAATCTCATGGTACACATGTTGTACTCTGACAATAAAGGTAATAATAAATAGAGATCTCCTTTCCTGCAGCCTACCTCCATTTTATTTCTCCTGTCTTAGAACTGGACCAGATTTTTCTTCCAACACTAGATTCACTCAACAACCCTGTTACTGACTTAATTGCAGTGACTCATTTAACAACTGTGGCAAGAAAGATTATAAAATGGGGCAAAAAGTCACTTAAATGTTTTAACAACAGAAATATTGGGCTCCATTGTGATCGTAAGTCGAGGACTACCTGTATTCCAAGTGTGGTCTTACCAAAGCAATGTAAAGTAGCACATGAAGATAACTTCCTGGGATCTTGAGATTATCCTTGGTTGATGCAGTCTAGGATTGCATTGGCTTTTTTGGCAGCTGCTGGCTGGTTTAGTTATGAATGGGATAGTTTTGCATATGTAGGAAGCCCCCCCCCCAATAAAATATTTTGGGGGATATTAAAAGAGACAGAATATTATATTTCTCCAAAGGAGAAATGGAGAAACATGCTCTTAAAGGCAGAAAGCAGCCCCAGTTTAATAAACAGCATCCAGCAGTTGCCTGGAGTCTTTAGAGATGGATATTCTGTGCCCATTAAGGGAGGCTGGGCCAATCTATTCCCAAACAAAACACCTTCAGTTCCAGTGGATGGGGTTAAGAATTGACATCCCCCCACCTAAATTCTAAGGACAGGTTGTGACCTTTTAGGACATAGCAGGATTAATCCACCATTGAAATAGCAAAAGGCACAAAAGCCCCTTCATTGCACAATGCCAAGAACAGTTCAAACTGTATAGGTTCCTGTATAAAGATCCATCCACTCATCAGACCAAGTTGTCAGCTGTCCCAGAACTGCATGTGATGGTTGGTTCTGCTCATCAATAAACAGTCCTTTTCAATCAACCTCCATTTTATTTCCAGCATCTTTCTCCTGGCTTGGAACTGAACTAGATTTTTCTTCCAACACATGTAAAAAAAAAAAAAAGGTTCTTGTTGGTTTCCTTAAGTTTAAAAAAAAGAAGAAGCAGGGATGGCATGCTAAAATGCTAATATCACTTTAATTTAAAATATGTAATAAGGCCTAAAATCCCAGGGGATTCTGGGAGTTGAGGTCCATGCATCTTTTAACTTGCTGAGGTTGAGAAATACTGACCTAGAGAAAGACAGGGTGAAATTTATTGGAAGGACCCCCCCCCACCCCAAAAAACACCTTTCTCTGAGGAGAAGGATCTCTGCATATGCTATGAGGCAGGGGTCTCCAACCTTGGCTACTTTAAGACTTGTGGACTTCAACTCCCAGAATTCCTCAGCCAGCAAAGCTATTTGATGAATTCTGGGAGTTGAAGTCTACAAGTCTTAAAGTTGCCAAGGTTGGAGACCCTGCTCTGCGGAACTCTAATTCTGGTACTCAATTTTTTAAAAAAATATGGGTTTCGTTAGGATCCCATCACGTTTCGTTCGACCGGTTCCCTTTCCTTGACGCCCTCCACGTGCCCGGACAGGCTTCTGAAACCGCCCGGCCCGTCGCCCCGGCAACGGACGCCCCGGCGCGGGGCATGCCGGGCTGCAATAAAATGCAACAATAAAACCCGGGGGGAGGCGGGGGCGCCCCAGCCAATGGGCCGCGAGGCGTATTGTTGCCGCCAATGACCGTTGCCTGCGGGACGGAGCGCTGGCGCGTTGGGCGTGGCGGCGGCGGGCCGGAGGGGAGGGGGCGAAGCCACCGGCCGGGGCAGCATTCGAGGCTTGTCGGGGGCGGAGGCGGCTGGGCGAGAGCGCGCGCGCGCGAGGGCGGGCTTTTTTTTACCTCAGTGCGTTCAACGCGACGGGGGACCCGGAGGAGCGTCGCCGAGGTGCCAACTTGCTCACCGGCTCCACCAACGTCCCTCCCCGCTCTCCTCGGAAGCAGCCCGGCAGCAGCGGCCGCACCACCGCACGGTGAGGAGGAGAGGGGGGCCCGCGCCTCGGACTACAACGCCCATCGGGCTGTCCCTGGAGGCGGTCGGGAAAAGCTCCCCGGGCCGCCGTGGGAGTGCCCCGGCTGGTGGGGGACGACTACAATTCCTAAAAACCCCAGCCGTGCGGCGCGTGTGTGTGTGTGGGGGGGGGGGGGGGGTGGTGGGGGTTGGAAGTAGTCCCAGCACGCCGGGGTCGCTTCGCTCCTGGCCGTTTTGGACACACACGGGTGAGGCTTTCTCGCCGGCTGGAAGGAGCTGGAAGGGGGGAGGCCGCGCTCGCCGAAATCCGGGACACTGTGAGGCACCTCCAAATCGGCGTCCGGGCCTGCCTTGCGGTTGGAACCGCCCCCCCCCCCCCCCCCAAAAAAAAAAAAACCTCGCCCCGCCACGTTCTTTATTATTTATTTGCCAGGCATCCTCGCCCTTCTCCGGCTTCCCCGAAGGGGCCGGGGGGGGGGCCAGCCATCTGCCCCCCCCCCCCCCCCCGCGTCTTGGCCCTGTGGAGGAAGCGCGAGGGGGCTTTTGGGGAGGTGGGGGGTGGCGAAAGGCGATCGTGCCTGCGCTACACGATCCTTGGAGAGAAACGGGGGAAAGGAGGATAAATGGCGCAGGGGGGGGGGGACCTGGAAGGGATTTTTTAAGGGGGATCCGCAGGTCTGCCTAAGGGTAGCAACTTTGAAGCCTTCCTTGGCTCTAACCTGAGGTTTTCGCATTTTTTTCTTAATAAAATATAGGTATGTTGCTTTATATAAATTAGGCTCGTGAACCGAAGGGTTAATAGCGTCTAAATAGAAATATTTATACCCTCTGGTGCCTAAAGAACTTACAGGCTAAGGCTTTTCGAAAATAACATTCCTGTTTAAAATCTAGTATAAGCAGTGAACAATGGACCAAATGGACACAGTTAAGGTTTGAGAGGCAGTTAGGTGCTTGAGGAGGGAATCCTAGGGAGGGAATCCATAGCTAGTGCTAAAAATAACAAGGTCTCTCCCGGCTTCCTTCTTTCAGGGAAGATGGAAATGGTGGAGGTTGATTTATCTATAGAAGGAAAGGATATTTGGATTTGAGGGGACCTGCTCAAGGAATGGTGATGGGTGGTGGTCTGTGGCATTGAAAATTAAGATACTTCTTTGCCGTGGTTGAAGGGTGAGGGCCATTGGGTTAGGAGACAGATATGCCTAGACGGATTTGGTATGAGTTAACATTTGAGATATACCACTGCAGGGGCTATGGAAATAATAATGGAGAATTTGGCAGAATTGATATCTCTCTTGAGCCTAAACAACCAGCCTTTTTGTGCAAAAGGCGTAATTGCACACCTGCAAGTGGGTGGAGTAAAAAGAGATGCCCAGGAGCAGTTAGCTGCTTTATTACAAGGCAATGCACCCAACATAAAGATCCTCCTGCTGCTTATTTTAGTAGTGCATAGGTTGTAGCTATGCTAGCAAGGAAAAGTAGTTGCAACATCTCTGACTTCCATTCCTCCAGAATGTTTGCATGTTTCAAACTTCCCAATCTAGTCTACAGATGGCTTATCCTGGTAGTCTCCCATCACACGGAAATAACATCCAACCATGTTTAGCTTTTGAAATGAATGTGTTGCATATTGATCCTTTCCATGAGAAGGATTCTGAGTAGTTGTCAGGCTGAGTGTGGTGAAGCAGAGGGATGTAATTTATTGCATTGCATTTTTGAAGCTCTTACAGCAACTGTTCAAAGTTTTGACAGAACTGAACAAGGAGTTTTATGACTGTTCCTAGTAATTGTGACCATTGCAGTGTTGTGGTCACTTGATCACTATTTTCCGGTGCTTGGCAATAAGCTAGCAGTTATTGTTGCATTGTCCAATGCTCGCATGATCACCATTTGCAATCTCCACTACTGGCTTCTGGTGAGCAAATAAAATGGGAAGTCAGCAGGAGGTTGCAACTGATAACCATATGACCATGGGACACTGCAACTATGCTGGATTCCCCTATTGACACTGTTGTAGCTGCTGTCAGAAATTGGCAGTCATGTGATATCATACTTAGTGCATCATTAAATGACTACTGCCTGTATAGCTAAATATGAATAAGTTTGTTTTTCTGTCTGGGCTAAACCTTTGTGTTTTAAAAAGACCCTGTTGCTTCTAAAAATTACTTTTGAATACCTTGTTTGTGGAATAGATGAATTAAATAATAATTTCTCATTCTTTGTAGGTAATCATGAGTGATCGAAAGGCTGTGATCAAAAATGCAGATATGTCTGAGGAGATGCAGCAGGACTCTGTGGAGTGTGCTACACAGGCCTTGGAAAAATATAACATTGAGAAAGATATTGCTGCCCATATAAAGAAGGTAGTGCTGAACCATCATCTCATACCTACTACCTTAGAATTTTAATTTAGAAAAGAAACTGACAAGAATATAATCTAAACTGAATTTATCAATTAATATTAAAATAATACTAAGTCCTTAGTGACAAAAAATATTGTGTGAATAGAAAGATAATTTGTTCACCCATGGGAAATGGGACCTTGTCAAATTTGTAACAGAATTTGCAGAATGAGTTTGAAGGTTTCTGGAAGTAAAATTATCTGCACTAGAAATTACTTGCTGCATTCTTATCCTTAGCCTGTTTCAAGGCCGGACTGCTCCCAGCATACTTCAAATTTGGGGAATTTTACTTCCAGAAAGTATCACATTGTCTGTTGAATTACAAGGTTCTGAGGATATTTGGCACAAACCAGAGGGAGGATGGAAGTTTCTGGAGTTCTTCAGAATATTTGGTTCTCAAATTGTTGGGCTTTGTATAACCTTAATTGAACCACAGCTACAATCTTCTACATTTATTTGCCTGACTAGTGAGAGTCGAGATTCAGCATAGAAAAATGCTAAGTGATAAAATCTTTAAACTTAATGCCTTAACAAGTGCAGCAATGTAAATAATGTTATATTATTGAATGTAATATCCTAGGTGCATAGATTAATATGAGATAGTAGGTTTCTGTAAAAGATCAACTGAATGAAAAGGTATGTGGGGTACTCATAAAAACCATTTTGTCTTTTGTAAGCAAGATTCTCTGTTTCAATGCATCAGTCATAGCTTTCAGTGATGAATGTTGAGCCCTACTCATACTGTTACTACTCTATGTACTTTACTTTTTTGGTATATACAAATCCTGCCATTGTGGGACTACCAACATTTTCGACTCAAGAAATTCAGTTGCTCCTCTGAACAGCACATGTTCCAGAACTGATCCCTGGTTTTCCAGACGTGAAAAGAGAACCAAATGGGCCACTTCCAATTCAGAGAGTTGCTCCTGGATCACTGTAGCCCAGAGGCATGCATGATACCAGGATGTCCCAGAACTATAAGAGTTCGCATCCCTTAATACTTTTACATCTAGCTGAAAGAATTGTTATCAGTAGCACATACTGATTTAATCATTGGAAAAAATAATGCCTCTATGCCTCGATAAAGTTTCCCCAGAAATTGCAGAATTGACTTAACATGATCGTATGAGTTCTTGCATTTTATTATCACTTCAATTTTTTAAGCCACCTAATTTTTTTGTCACCTTTTGTCTACACACCAAAAAGAAGAACTTAGGATATGCTAGAACTAAAATTTGCTCAAGAGTTAAAATTCAGTAACTTGGAATAAGACATGTTTTCCAGTATAATAGATTGAATGAAAATATCAATATCTATGATGCTAAGATTTTAAGGGATTCTCTTCCAGGAATTTGACAAGAAATACAATCCTACTTGGCACTGCATTGTGGGAAGAAATTTTGGCAGCTACGTGACTCACGAGACCAAACACTTCATCTACTTTTACCTGGGTCAAGTTGCTATTCTCCTTTTCAAATCTGGTTAGAAGTATGGGACCTTTTCACCCAAATATGCATTCGGTTACAGGACTGCACGCTAATTCCAAATAGACTGAAGTCTTCAGCCTTCCCCAGGGAACATACCTTGATCTTCAAGCCTTTTGTTTTAATGACAGGTACTCCTATGTACCAATTTGTGTTTTTGTTGTGGCCATAAAAAATAGCAAAAAAGTAAGCTTGTATGTATTTTCTTTCTAAAACAATCAATCCACCCAAATTTTGTAATAAAACTGTTGGGTATTCATCCTTTAACTTACTCTAAAATTTCTATATTGGGGTAGCTCTTCCATAGGACTACTGGGGTTCTATATTACACTGAAGCTGAAAATTCTTTAGCATTTTCCAAGCTTAACGCCAAGGTTTCATAGGATCAGCCTAGGTTATCATATTTGAGTTAAAACTTGAAAATGCCTTTTTGTATCAGCTAACGTATCTAGGTTTCTCGTGTTTAACTTCATTGGCTTCCAATGTTTTTTAAGCACAACTGTTAAGAGAGCACAACCTTAGACACACAATTAGAATTCCTTCTAATTTAGACTTCCTTTTGAAGCACATCTGTGCAAGATAACATCCTGTAATGGGATGATTTAAACAAAATACTTGAAATCCTCTATATCAGGGGTCCCCAACCACCGGGCCGCGGACCGGTACCGGTCCATGGAACATTTCCTACCGGGCCGCCAGTTTGCTGGGCGCTGCCATCTTGTTTGATGAGAAAGTGTCTCCGGGTGAGCTTTTCTGGTTGGAAAGCAGCGTTTGGGTCCTGAAGGAATCCTCGCGCCTTAGTTTCATTGAAGGGGGGGGCTTCGAACGAAACTAAGGCGCGAGGATTCTTTCAGCACCCAAGGCAAGGCGAGCCGAGCGACCGTCCCGAAGCGAAGCCCATCGACAAAGGTACAAAGGAGGAGTTGAAGGTGGCAGAGAGAAGCGGGGGATGGCTGGCTGGCCGGTCGCTCGGCTCGCCTTGCCATGCATGCTGATACCGGTACCGGGCCGCGGATCATTTTGTGATGCCGGTACCGGGCCGCGGCACAAAAAAGGTTGGGGGCCACTGCTCTATATGGAACTTATGGATGCTTAAATCAATTAGAGGGTTAAGATTACCATTTGATACCTGTATATGTCAGATAAACAAAACTACAGAGTTTGTTGCCTCTATTCTACAAGCTTCAACTTTAAGGATTATTAATCTTATGTGCTAGATAGCTCAGTACAATCATACTATATATTAACACAGTACATAATAAAGACCCGAGATTGGAAGAAATTCTAGCAAATTATCTCATGAAAAACAAGTGCTGAATGATTCAATTCATTTTAAGGACTAGAACATCCCACATTTGGAAAAATGTGTAACCATTTTTTACGAGAGCGAGCTCTAATTGTCTTGCTTATATATGTACTTAATGGATTGGTTGACATGTTGCAGGATCAGCTCTGCTTTATAAAATTGGGACAGACAAATAGCATGTTTAATTGAGTACCAAGTTTTTCCTTCAACCTTGAAAGTTTATGGTCTAAAAGCAATGTGTATGAGGGAAACACCCCATGGAAATAAGAATGTGTGTTTGTTAAGATATAGTTCAAATTAACTATCACAGAGGGGATAACACTGATACTGGTAGTGAAATTAAGCATGGAAATATTTTGTGCCTTTTAAATGTAAAAACATTTGTTACGAATGGCAACTTGAGACATTTATTACCCAAATTATTTTTAAAAGTTTCAGGTTTCTTATCCTAAATATTTGCTGGTTTATTCCTTTCTCCGTAGGTATATTGTGCTTGGAAGCAGGTTACTCCTCCTGTAAACTGTTTTAACACTCTTAAACTAATGTGGCCGAGTTTGTAATAGAAGAATTTGGTGCATGTTAGTACCCAACACAATAGTGCAATTCTAAGAATACAATGTATATCTACTTTAAAATATTCAAATGTTGGCCAGCCAGTTCCAATACAGTACAGCAAGGGGCTCAATCTTCATAGAGGACAGCCAGCCAGAGAATTTCAGTTAACTTTTTCTAGGGCTGACTTCTATTCATGGCTATCAATAAAAATAGCTGGAGCTAAGGAATGCATAACTTTTGGGCATTTTGAGTACCAAGCATAGCATTCTACCTGAGCAAGCTTGTGTTGCATTTATGTATACTGTGATGTATTTAATGCTCTGTAGAGATGCGGGCCTAATTTGTATAACATATTAAACTATTGTGGTATGTTCTGGGCTTCATACAAACTCAGTAATTTGCTTTTGTAAACTCTTATCACCAATTGTGTATGTGTGACCTCAGAAAGTGGCAGCTCTCAGCTTGCTAAACAGAAGCTAAGCAAGATCAGACTTGGTCTGTGCCTGGATGATAGAATTCCAGGGGTTGTAGACTAGAAGAAATATCTGAGAAAGCAGCAGTGGCAAATCTGCATGGTTACAAAGGAAGCTTGATGTGCTCATGGAATCTACTGCCGCAAGTTGAAGGAGAGACTCTGCGTTTTAAAGTTAATCTTGGTTTGATACCATGCAATTAGGTAATAAATCTTTAGAACATGGGTGTCAAACTCGCCGCAGTCATGTTTTGCAATGTTCCCATTCACAGAGCTGGGGTGGGTGTGGCCTGTGCAGGATATATCTGTCCTCAGGCCGCTGGTTTGCCCTGCTTTAGAGTTTAACAGTGCATACCCCATTGAGCTAAGCTAGTCTTTCAGCTTGAGCGAAAGCAGCTACATTCACTCACGACACTTAACACTTGGATAAATCACTAGCTTAGAACATGCTGTAAATTGTGTTAGATGATGAGAGATGATGAGTTTCCCAGAAATTGGCTGACAGCTGCAACCACCAGAATGTGAATTAGATTTAATTTTTTACTTGAATATGCCTCATAATGTAAAACACCCTCCACTTCAGGAAAACAAAGAAACAATTGAAAATTTAAATACTTTTAATATATAAAGTAATCCTACATTTCTTGATAAAAGCCTGGACCTTTAGAACAGTAAACATGGCTTCCATTCATTTCTTCTATTTCTTCAGCCACACCTCAGTTGGGTGACATGATTAAAATATTTCTGAAGGGTTCACTGTCCAGGTTTCAAATGAACTAAATCTTGTCCAGTAAAATGAACAGTTTTAAATAAGCACAGCTGAAAACAGTTGTTCTTTTGTCCTGACTTAAACTTAATGTTGAGTGCTTTTCCCTCAGTACAAAGATAATCACAGCTTGAAGCCAGAATGAATGGCCACCATGCCCGATGTCAGGTTTTGATAGTCCACCTTCAGAAAGCCTGCTTCTTCAATAATTTCCTTGAACTCCTCCTAAAACAGAGCAAATGGTAAATGTAGCATTTAGTGTATAGAACTGAAATTTTAATTTTTAGATAACTTGGAGGACTTGTTTTACCTGAGTTGGAAAGCGCCTTATGCTTTCTACAAGGTACTGGTAGGATTTCCAATCACCAGCTATAATTTCTCCCAGCACAGGGATAACTTGGAAGCTATAGAGATCATACAGACTGAAAACAAAATTTTAAGAAAATTAACATACTGGATGCAGGCGATCTTATCTAGTAGACCAAACTTTCCACAAACAATTTGACTTCAGGGACAAATTTTCACATATTGAAAGTAAACTCGTAACAGGGCCCCAACAGCCATTTGTTTCCCTTTGAATGTTCTTGGGGAGAGAGATCTGTTCTAGAAACTTCACAAAATATTTCATAGGCAATGCAGGTCATCCTCGATTTAATAGCAATAGCACTTAGACTTGTATACTGCTTCACAGTGCTTTTACAGCCCTCTCTCAGCAGTTTATACAGTCAACCTATTGCCCCAACAATCTGGGTCCTCCTTTTACCAACTTCTGAAGGCAGGCTAAGACAACCTTGAGCCTGGTGAGAATTGAATTGCCAAACTGCTGGCAACCGGCAGAAGTAGCCTGCACTCTAGCCACTGCAGCACCACTGTGGCTCTTTATAATTGTTTGAAGTGATGACAGACTCCCAAAAGCTATTTACAACCTGGTTCTGAAGTTGCAATGGCTACCCCGCCCCCCAAACTCACCCATGGTCACATGATTTCATTTTGGGTGCCCAACAACTGGCCCACATTTGTAGCCATTTGCCGCATCCTGCAGCCATGTTACCATGATTTATGGCAATTTGGCTGAAACCCACTTTCGGTTAGTCAATGGATTTGCTTAATGAGTGCAATGTTTGCTTAACTATGGATTCACTTAATGGCTGCTGTAAAAATAGCTATATAATTGGTTGGTCATTTGCTTTACAACTGTCACAATTTAGAAGCAAAATGGCAGGCTCCATTATAGTCAAAAATTGAGGACTACCTGTACAGCCACAACATTAGGGACTGGGCATAAGTAGCATTCATTCAGTGCCATTGTAACTTCAAACAGCCACTGAACAAATAGTCATTAACCAAGGACTACCTGCATATCATCTGCAAAGATGATAGCCAATCCATCTGTCCATCTCTTTGCGTCATCAAAAATGAGTCAATATAAGGTGTCATTCTTCCCTCTTCATTACATAGAATATGACATCTAGTTTGGGGCATTGCATTTGATTGAAGATACTCAAACTGTTAAGTTACTCACCCTGGGCTAAGAAAGTACTGTTATTCTATTTCTGCTTTTTTACTGTTTTCCTAAACCAAACCTGAGGGGAGGAAGGAAGGAGAGGTCACCAACTGAAAAAGACTTATCTTGGATGAAATATGCACAGGTAGTCCTCACTTAAGGGCAATTGGGAGAGAAATTTCACTAAGGGACGTAATCATAAAATGCAGTATCATGTGACCACAATGGTTAGCAACGGAAAATCCAGCACTTCCAGTTGCCATAAAACAAGGATGTCATGCAGTTGCCATTTGTGATCTGCTGGTTTCTCCACTGACTTAGCCAGCAAAGAAGGTGGCAAAAGACACATCATGGCCACAGGATGCTGTGATGTCATAATTGTGTGCTGAGCCCCACTCAGCCAGACTGAGCAGTTGTCCGATGACAACCCACACTGCACTAAAATTCAATAAACAGGAAACCTCTCACACTGTCACAGTACTTATTTGCTTAAAGGTAAAGGTTCCCCTTGCGCATAGGTGCTTGTCGTTTCCAGCTCTAGGGGGCGGTGCTCATCTCCGTTACAAAGCTGAAGAGCCAGCGCTGTCCAAAGACGTCTCCGTGGTCGTGTGGCCGGCAGGACTAAATGCTGAAGGCGCATGGAGCGCTGTGACCTTCCCACCAAAGTGGTGCTTATTTTTCTACTTGCATTTTTTTATGTGCTTTCGAACTGCTAGATTGGCAGAAGCTGGGACAAGGAACGGGAGCTCACTCCGTTATGTGGCACTAGGGATTCGAACCGCCGACCTTTCTGATTGACAAGCTCAGCGTCTTAGCCCCTGAGCCCCTGTTTATTTGCTCAAGGGGGAATAAAAAACTGAAAAGAAGATCCTTTTTTCAACCTGGAAAGAAGAGAATTGTTGACGTGGCTGAATTCAAGGCAGAGAAAACGCCCTCCTGGTTTCAGGACTCGATAAGCCTCCTGAAGTGCCTAGAAAGGAAACAAACAAACAAACAAAAAACTTCCCACAGTAAGAAGTCATATTCTGATCCTTCACGTGGCATTCTGAGCTCACCCAGTAGAGTTTTGGGGAGGACAAGGTTACCATCTAGTTTAAACTAGCCTGTTAATTGCTTGAAATGTTGGGAACCCCCCCCCCCCCAAAAAAAAAAAAAAAAAAAAAAAAAAGAAACAGGAAGACAGTACAAGAAAGAATGCCAGGTTGGAGCAATGAAGATGATACCAAAGATTTAAGTGGTGTAACTGTTAGGGAGATGATGACTCAGGTGCAAATGGCCACTCGCTGGCTGACTTCGGACCAATCTTTCTTTCCAGCTACCTGACCAGGTTATGACACGAGGTGAGTGGGTGAGGTGGGACTAGGAGGTGCAGGAGTTGAGTGACAGGAGAAAAGGCAAATATAAACCTAGCAGCCCTCCCCCCAATAGACCAATAGGAGCACACACTCACCTGATCCATATGAGTGACATTACGGATACCAAAAGCAATTGTGTAAAAATCAAACTTGTTGTCATCGAAGGGCAGATCTTGAGCATCCCCCACCACCCAAGACAATCCTTCAAAGAATGAGAAAAGGAATTGATTAGTGCCCATTCAAAGGACCTTCCAAAGGCATCTTTCATTAAAAGATCAACATATTTTATGAAATTAAGAACCTGTGATGAGTGAACAGTACAATGTGAACGTGTGCAATTTTTGTCATAACAGCAATCACTAATTAATGGCATCATATATGTATATGGGGGTGTCTCCATTTTAAAAACAACCAATTTATGAGAGGTTAGCTCAGTGTTAAGACAAGCTACAATTTTTCTCCACTTCTACATCATGACTTACATTTATTTCTGAATTAGTAAGCTAAAATCGGGGAGAAGGAGCATATTTCCCATTCTAATTACTGAAGAAATGGGGTGGATCCTACGCATGCTTGATGTATATTGTCCACTATCTTATAGGGTATTTTACCCAGAAACCATGGCATAACATTACATTCTGTCTGGGTTATACATCAGACCTTCTTGTCAATGATTATGATAGAAAGATTTGTTGTTATACATGCTATTTATGCTCGAGTAGACTTTTAGACTTTATTGTCTAAACCTAAAAGTCAATAAATATCTTTATTGTCATTTTGAATGTACACTACTAATAGGTATACATTAAAATGAATTTTCATTGCATGCAGTTCTCAAAAGGTCTCCACCTCCAATATACACTACATAACCATGACAAAATAAATGAATAAATACAAAATTATGTTTATATCCATACACAGAGTAACAGCATGTGTTGAAAAATCTGCCGGCAAAATGCGCAAACTCTCTGCCACATATGCGTAACTGGAAGCTTGGGGTCAGATCATAGTTCCCAATGATGTGCCTAGTCAGACAATCCAAGTACCCCTCTTGTGGCCATATATTTTCTTTTAAGCTTCACCCCAAAGCTGCTTCCATTCTTTTGCCCAGCCGGATCATGACAAAAGGCTTCCCAAAGTCTCCCTCCTCGAAGGCAGAGCCTTGAGCTCCTTCACCCTGTTCCTGTTTGAATGATCTGAAGAGTTTCAGAGTCAAAAGGGGAAAGACTCAACAAAAGACTCACTTATGCTTGCAAAGCTCAGTCTACACATCGTCTTCGACTTAAGGCCAACATTTCTCTTGCTCACTAAAACATCTGTTAAGTAGTTTTGGCCTCACTTAACAGCCTTTTTGCCAGAGTTATTAAGTGAATCACAGCAGCTGTTAAATTAGTAACACAGATGTTGTCAACTAAAAAGAGACTCCTTTGGTCTTTTTAGCTGCCAGAAAAAGGGAGTGGGGGAAAACAAGGCATTCTTGAAATGCCTAGATCAGGGGTGTCAAACACAAGGCCCGTGGGCCAAATCCGGCCCGCCAGACCTCGTCTGATGGTCCGCGGTGCCGCCGCCAGCCTTGCAGCCTCCCCCCCTTTTTTTTCAATGAATTTACTCCGTGCCTGCACGGAGTAAATTCATTTTAAAAATGGCTCAAGTTAAAAAAAAAAAAAAAATTTACTTACCTTCCGGGACCTGGCCCGACTTCTTCCTGCCCCGCACTGCTCCCTGGGTGTCGGACGTGACGTCATCACGTGACGTCCGCCCGACATCTCCAGGGATCAGAGGAGCGCGCGGACGCCGCGGAGAGGAGCAAGAAGAAAGAAGTAAAAGAAAGAAAGAAGTAAACGGTAAGTAAAGTAAATGGAGGGGGCAGATGGCTGGGCACGGATTGCTACAGCACAAGACCTAACGCCAAACATCGATGGACTGACCTTAGGAAAACGATGTCAGCCATCTAGTCAGTAAAGTTAAAAAAAAGGTAATGCCTTGTGTTTTCCATATGTTTAATAAACAGTGTTTGGCAATATTTGTATGTTTAAAAAAAAAATAATGTTTGTTACCAAAAAACATTTTTCAATACATTGTACAATAATTGTACATTTGAATATCTACTTGTCATTATTCTATGTTTCTGCTTTCAGAGCTAGTTATTACTTACATTATTACAAAAAACAGTAATAATTGAATGCAGTGACATTAATTTATGATAATAAAGAGTGGACACATAGACCTACAGATACAACCGGCCCTTTGATGGGGACCAAACTGCTGATGCGGCCCCCGATGAATTTGAGTTTGACACCCCTGGCCTAGATAATCACCTCAGCAGCCCAAAGTTGTCGGAGCATAAGGTGGTTATTGCAGAGCATGATGACTCTTGGACATGGATGTGTCCCATTGGAGAAGTCACATCCAGGGGGTGGAGGCAAGACCAGGTCAAGGGGGAAATGTATGATGTGATTTAGTATTGACTGCACCCAGCTAAACGCCAACATGACCACTCTTAATAAATCAACTTACTTTTCTCTGAGATGGGGCTAGAGACTTTTGATTTGAATGAGGGTGGATTTGTTGGAGCCCTGACAGATGTTTGGTGAATGTGGCTTCCCCATTGACTTTGCTTGTCAGAAGTTTGCAAAAGATGATCACATGACCCTGGGACATTTCAACCCTCATAAATATGAACCAGTTGCCAAGTGTCTGATTAACAGAGTTGGAAGGGACCTTGTAGGTCATTAGTCCAACCCCTGCCCAAGCAGGAGACCCTACAACATTTCTGACAGACGGCAGTCCAGTCTCTTCTAAATTTTAACCATACGACCATGGAGATGCCACAACAGTCTTAAGTGTGAAAAACGGCTGTAAGCGCCATTTGTAACTTCAAAAAAGTCACCAAATGAATGGTTGCAAGCCGAGGACTACCTGTACAATGAATTCCCAGGAGGGAGGGGTGCATTCCAGAAGAATAAGAGGCAACTCAGCCTGGATATTAAGTGTGAGAGAGAGGACAAAGGCATGCTCTCCTTAATAGTTCCCAGAGCATATGGTACATGCAGATAGTAGAATCCCGTCAGCCAAAATTTTGCCTATAGGTGTAAAGCAGAGGTCTCCAAACTTGGCAACTTTAAGACTTGTGGACTTCAACTGCCAGAATTCTCCAGCCGGCTATGCCGGCTGGAGAATTCTGGGAGTTGAAGTCCACAAGTCTTAAAGTTGCTAAGTTGGGGGACCCCTGGTGTAAAGCAATAAAGAAGCCAGATGGGGAGGATTTTGAGAATTTTGAGGCCTAACATTCCCATCATACTTCAGAGGGAAGAGGGCCAGGATTCCTTGCTTCACAGCAAATGGCAGCCTGCCAGAAAGAAACACATATACCTTCACAAACTCACCAGCCTTGATTTAGATCTCCCTGTTGAAATAACAACTTATTACCTTCCGAGTAGCCAAGCTGCTGCGATTTCTGCTTCCCAACCTTCACCATCTCTTTGTTAATGTCGCAAATCACTACGTGGGATCCCCCTAGCGATCCATTCTCCTCTTCCTGGTAAAGCTGAGTAATCTCCTGCCAGGATAAATTCTGATGGCTTCTCAGCTTCTGCTGGATCTGATACTCCCGCTGGGAACGAACATAATTGATAAATCGAAAGGCGATGTCACCTGAATTTGTTTTGAAAAGAAGGATTCAAAACGTGAGATTTCCTTTTCCTGAAATTAAGTGATGGGAAGGTAGGGATCATGACGGTATTGTGCACAAATCATTCAAACCGCTCCTTCTAATAGCTTGGGGGGTTGCTGACTGAGAAGTTCCATCCATGCACACACACACACAGAGGACATTTTTTGTTGTCATAATTAACTATTGAGGTTCATTTAAGTGCTACACACACTCAAATCTGGATGGGGTTTGTGAAAGACTGGACAGCTTTTTGTCCGGGACGGAATAAGGATTCTTGCCTTGGGCAGGGGGTGGGACGAAAAGACCTCTGAGGTCTCTTCCATTCCTAGTATTTTATGGTACTTACCTGTCCCGCCAGCAACATCAATTAATTGGGCTCCTGGATAAGGGTTCATGTGACGTAGCAGGGCGTCCTTCCAAACACGATGGATTCCCAGACTCATCGAATCATTCATGAGATCATACTTCTTTGCCACATTTTCAAACACCTGGTAAACTAAAATTTTCATTTGTTTCAAAATAAGATCAGTTCTGTTATCTATATCAGGGGTACCCAACCCCCAGGCCACGGCCCAGTATTGGGCCGTGGCTGTTCAGAACCGGACCATGCAAGCAGCGGGTGTGTGCCCCCCACTGCGTACGGGGAACCAACTCTCTTCCTCCACCCCCCACCCCCCCGGTTCATAAAGCCGAAAAGGTTGGGAATTGCTGTATCACATCATCCTGACAGCAATCAAATTTCCAGAAATATCTATATATTTAAATCAGAGGTGTGGTATTCAGCCGGTTCTGACCGGTTCTCCTGGTAGCAGAAATGTTGAGTTCAGAGAACCGGCCAATCCCACCTCTGACTGGCCCCACCACCCCCACCTCTTCTCTGCCTTCCATCAAGTCCCAGCTGATCGGCTGGGTCTTCTTTGGTTGCCCTGCACAGGAGAACGGAGCTGGAAAGCAGGTTAGTGGGATGGGGAGGGAATGGGGATTTTGCGGTAACCTTCCCCTGCCACGCCCACCAAGCCACGCCCATTGAACTGGTAGTAAAAAATTTTTGAATCCCACCACTGATTTAAATAATGTACTATAAGATTAACCAAGCATATATCTGTCATGTATATTTTATTTGTCAAGTTTCTAAATCATTCAACTCCAAATGATTCTGGATGGCTTCACAATATTAAAACACAATAATAAACACAATACAGTACGAAAACAGTATAAAATAATTGGTACATTGGGAAAAACAAAAAAAGCAGCACAGTCAATGTCCACAAACTACAATGTCCTCCCTGGACTTGCAGAAAGATTTTTAAAGACCACCTGAAGGCAGGCAAACAAAGAAGGCCCACCTGCAGGGTCACCCTAGATGGCCTTACTTAATTGATGGAATCTAGACTCTGTGGGAGCAAATAGGACAGAGGCAGCTTCCATGGGAGACAGCTCTGGCCAATGCCAGGCAAAGATAAATCATGTCTCCAAATCTTTCTACTGGTCTTCATGTCTCAAATACCCCATCTGAGATCCTGATCCATGTTCTCCAGTACTGAAATTTGACCCACCTCTTTCCTCTAGACGATTTCCCTCTTTACAGAAGAAACTTTGGTATGGACATAACTTCAGGAAATAGAAACCTTTGCTGGGATGTTTTGAAATGAACTCCCCCTCCCCCCAATCTCCTAATTGCACTTTTAAGGCAGTATTATTGTTCATTGCTCTTTTTTTGTGCAAAACTATGATTTGGTAAGAGAACTATTGTTTACGGTAAATGGGAAAAAAGGCAGATCAGAGAGAATTGCCAGATGACAGGTGCTAATAATCTGCTTAAGTGCAGATTATAAATTTATAAGTGCAGATTAAGTGCATTGCATATAAGTGCAATGTCAGGAATCCGGCACTTAACCCCATTTAAATCATTTAAACCATGAGTCTCAAGCCAAAACTTCCAAAACTTCAAAAGGATTTATTGGAAGTTAAAAGGTCCAGCAATTGCTTGGGTGTAGCTGACTCTGAGACACAATTCATTGTCACCCTTGACCTTGATTTTCCCCCACCCCCTGGGTGTATTGTAATTCATATCCATAGCCAAGAGTCATCAATCATGCTCTCCAGTTGCAAGGCAGAAACTGGCAGAAACTTCTGTCACCTAGTAACTATCTTTGAAAACATTTATGGAATGCAGCTGCCACACTGCTCCTCCCTCCCTTTCTGTTGGCAACTCCAAAAGACCATAGAAATATTTTTTGAGTTGACATGCAATATGACATAAACTATATTTAGACAACTCTTCAATCTGTTTCACAGAATCAAGGAACTGGAAATATTCTGGGTGAGCTCTTCTTTGCTGCTCAAAGCAGGGATTGAAGCTTTGCAGGCAGATGGCTGCCTAGCCTCCATTTCAGCACCTCAAAAAATGGGGAATCCACTACTACTCTGGATCCCTTGATACACAGCCAGGTCTTCAAGAGTCTCTGGAAGGCAGGCAAGATAGGGGCTACAGGGCTCCCAAGAGCAGACCCAGCTGTTCTGAAGGAAGCACTTTCTATCACAAAGACTTACACACTTATAATTTCATTAAGAAGATGACCTTTATTGTCATTTTTT